CCCGATGATGCCCCATAGTGAACTAGGCGAGTTGACTGAGCATGTCTGAATGGACGGCCCCTGTCGTACTGAAACTGACCCCCAAAACTACCAAATACACGAGGCCCTTTCCCTCTCCAATCGTTCCTGACGGTGAATCGACTCTATCTCTCGATCAATGTCAACAACCTCATCAAAAGAAGCAACAGATACCCTCTCTCTGGTCATAAGAATCCGCAACTGATATGAAAGACCATCCACAAACATCCTGATCCTCTCCTTGTCTGGGAACCAACCAGATAGCATGACGTGCTAACTCAGAGAATCTCATATCATACAACATCACAGTCATATAATCTTGACACAATTGCTCGAACTGTCTATGTAGCTCCTTTCTGCGAGACTGCGGCACATACTTCTACAGAAAGAGAACGGGGAATTGCTGCCAGGTAAGGGGCGTTGCACCAATAGCCCTATGCCTCTCATAGGCCTCCCATCAAGTAAATGCAACTCCAGAAAACTTAAAAGTAGTGAATGAGACCTACTAGTCTCTAGAATACCTGTTGTATGTAGAATCCTCTAACACTTGTCCAAGAAACCCTGGGCATACTCGCCCTCTGCACCACTGAAAGTCGGAGGCTGAAGTCTATCAAACCTCTCCAATCTATGATGCTCGTCATCAGGCATGACTGGTACCATAAAATCCTGAGCAAGTGCAACCGGCTGGGCTAGTAGTGCTTCCGGTGTCTGCAGTTCCTAAAAAACCTGCTCGAGTGTACGGGCAACGGGAGTTTGAGTGCCTCCCCCATCCTAGGAAGTAGCTACTATAGTAGAAACAGCGAGCGCCTGAGCAAGATTGGTGCACACGGTCAAGATTTGAACTAAGGTCTCCTGAAGACCTGGGATAACAATAGACACAGCAAGTGCCTGAGCTGGTCCTATTGGAGCATCCACAATTGGGACCTGATCATGAACTGGGCAGCTGGTGGATCTGTAGGTGCTGCCCTAGCTGCTGTGCGGGCTATACCCCTACCTCTACTACGGCCGCAACTATGACCTTGGCCTCTCGCGGCCCCAACTAGTGGTACTGGTGGTCGTCCGTCCTGACCGGTAGCACGTGTCCTCACTATCTGTGAGAGAATAGAATAACAGAAGTTTAATTACCAGAATCAACAGATTCGTACGACAAAAATTCAAGAATGTAAAGTTTTCCTAAAGGTTCTGCAGCCTCTCGAAGATAAGTACAGACGTCTCCGTACCGATCCGCAAAACTGTACCAAACCCGCTCATGACCCTGAGATCTATGTAACCTAGGCTCTGATACTAACTTGTTACGACCCAAATCTACCATGTCATGATGGCACCTAACGTGGAACTAGGCAAGCCGACTCTTTTACCAAAACAACCCGATATTTCAAAATAAGGATTTCTTCAAGCTATTTAAATAATAAAACTATATAAGATAAATCTGAACAACAAAGTGCGGAATGAAAAGCCCGACATCGGGGTGTCACTAGTCATGAACATCTACTAAGAACTATCTGATACAACTAAGACTAATACAGTTTAGAAAACAACTCATAATATCTAAAGGAAGATAGGAGGGAGAAGAGCAAGGTTGCGATCGCCATGCAGCTACCTTGCCAACTCCAACAAATCCGCGACGGATAAAAATCAACGCTTACTAGCACGTCCAGTAACCCCTGGATCTGCACACAGGGTGCATGGAGTAATGTGAGTTCGCCAACTCAGTAAGTAATAAAAGTAAAAAAAGACTGAGCAGTAGGAAACACATAAAGTCCACATCATGAAATTTCAGTAAGTACAACATGTTTTCAAATAAGTATGTGAGTCAAATCATCTCGTTTAAAATTCAAGTTTCAATAAAACCGTTTAAAACATATTTTGACAATATTCCGAACAAAGTGATGAAATAATGAGTAAACATGATGAAAACATAAATAGCTCATCGGGAAAAGCATCACTCGTGAACAGCCCCTCGGGCAAACAAGAATCATAAATAGCCCCTCGGGAAAACCTCACAATCGCTCGTAAACAGCCCATCGGGCATAACATGAATCAAGAACAACCCCTTGGGAATACATCATATCACTCACTCGGGGTACCCGTACTCACTGGGGTGTGCAAACTCCGGAGGGGCTCCTACAATCCAAACGCTATAACAAGCCACCTCGTGGCATAAATTATTCAGGGCCTCGGCCTCTCAAAATCATAAATTAGTAATATCATGCTGCAGCACGCAGCCCGATCCCATAATATCCTTAAAAAAAGCCATCGGCCCCACTCAGTCATAAACCTCTCAAGCCCCTCGAGCTATTAGTAAAACAGGGTGCTCAGCCCAAAATATTATTTTATGCATCAAAACGGAGTAATAAAGACTGAGTTATGAAATCAGTAAACATAGCATGACTAAGTATAGATCTTAAATCAAAACAGTGAGAGGATAATAGGAAAAGGCCCCTAAGGGTCCAAACAGCTTTGGCACAAGGCCCAAATATGGGATTCAGCCCATTTTATAGTAGTTCTTTCTAAAACACATAAGTATCATATAGTTTTCAGTCAAATACGCAACTTTACAGTTATTACATGATGGACTAAGTCACAATCCCCAACGGTGCACGCCCACACACTCATCGCCTGGAATGTGCGTCACCTCAAAATAGTGGAACAATGTGGAATCCGGGGTTTCATACCCTCATAACAAGATTTACAATCATTACTTACTTCAAACTGGTTAAATCCCTACTCCGCGACACCCTTAACTTTGGAATCGGTCTCCAAATGTCCCGAATCTAACCAAAAGCAATATGTTGCAATCAATATATGCTAATGGAATGAATTTCACAAGAAAAACTAACTAATTTGGCACAAATCTCGAAATCCTCCCAAATCCGGCCCCGCGGGCCGACGTTTCGGAATCCAACAAAAATCACAAAACTAGAAAGCCCATTCACTCACGAGTTTACCCATATAAAAATCATCAAAATCCGACATCAAATGGCCTTCCAAATCTCAAAAATCATCTCTCTAATTATCTTCCATCCCCTCCCCCTC